GCAGACACAGCTGTAGCAGACACAGCTGTAGCAGACATGGTTGTAGCAGCAACAGCTCCAGCGTCGGATACAGTTGCACCGGATACAGCCGCACTGGATACAGCCGCACCGGATACAGCCGCACTGGATACATCCATGAGGGGCCATGAGGAGAGGGGAGAGGGAAGCAGGGAGGGGGGCGAGAAGGAGCAGGTGAGTGGAAATGAAGCGGAGGGAGAGGAGGGGATTATGGATGCTGGAGAAGAGGAGGCAGAAGGAGAAGAGGGTACAGAGGGGGCAGGGGGGGCAGAAATGGCACAGGGGCCAGAGAGGGAAGAAATGGCAGAGGGGGCAGAGGGAACAGAGGGAACAGAGGGAGCAGAGGGAGCGGAGGTAGCGGAGGGAGCAGAGACGGCAGATGGGGCTGTGAGGGCAGAGGGGGCAGAGGGAGCAATGGAAACAGAGGCAGGAAAGAGGGGGGAGGGGGCACAAGCAGGTGTAGTGACAGGGCTGGCGGATGGGGAAGGAGCAGGAAGAACCTTTGGGGGAGCAGGGGAGGTGGCGATGGCAGAGGCATATGCAGAAACGGCAGGGGAGGTAGAGGGAGAAACAGCAGTAAGAGCGAGGAAAGGAGTAGGTGGGGAGATGGAGGGAGGGGAACAGGAGAGTGGAGGAGTGAGGGAAGGCTATGATCCAGGATCAGCAGCGGCAGCAGGTCCGGCAGTGGCAGGTCCGGCACGGACAGGTTCGGCAGTGGCAGGTCCGGCACGGACAGGTTCGGCAGTGGCAGCAGACACAGAAATGGAAGACCGAGCTTCACCTGACCCTGGCGCCGCTGGAGTGAGCACTGCTGAAGCTCCAGTTTCAGCACCTGCACGAACAGCACCAGGGGGGGAGGGAGCAGCAGCAGCACCTGTGGCACCTGCACCACCACCAGCAGCATTAGCTGCAGCACCAGTTTCCGCGCTCGTAGCAGCAGCACCAACAGTAGTACTAGCTCTAGCTTCACCAACACTAGCACCAGCACCTGCACCCGCACCAGCATCAGCAGTAGAACCAGCAATAGCAGCAGCACCAGCGCCAGCACAAGCACCAGGACCACTACCACCACGACAACCATCACTTCCATCACTACCATCAGAAGCGGCAGCAGTGGCAGCAGCAGCAGAGCGCACATCACATGCAGTCTCTGATCTGCCTCCCCCGCGCATGCGCAGGCCGCCACGACAGCCGTCCCCTCCGCGTCTGAGCTTCCTGCACCGCCTCAACGCCCTGCAGCACCAACGCCTGTTGATCAGCGACATTCAGCAACAGCAGCAGCAGCAGCAGAATGGTTACACTGCTGCTGGTGTGCCTGGCAGTGCTAGCAGCACCACTCCTCCCCCCTCAGACCACATACCCATGGAAAGTGCCTCTCTCTCTGCCGCCCAGGGTCTCACCCCTGTCACGCGGGATATCATGCTGGCGGAGCGGCTGCGTCTGGAGGATCTTATGAAGCACCAGCAGGCTGCCACGCTGGCAGCAGAGCGCCAGCTGGATGATGAGAAGGAGCGCCAGGTGGCGCTGGTGCTGCAGCGGTTTGAGAGGAGGAAGGCGGTGGTGAGAGCGAAAGGGGCGGCAGAAATGGAGAGGACAAGGGAGGCCATAGGGATGGTGGACGGCCAGATTCCGCTGCTGCAGGCTTGGCAGGCGAAGTACTCAAGTGGGGCAGGGGCAGCAGCCTCGGGAGCAGCAGGTTCGGGAGCAAGGGTTGCTGGAGGTGGTGCTGGGACTGCTGGGACTGCTGCGACTGCTGCGACTGCTGGGACTGCTGGGGCTTCTGCTGGTGGTGCTCATGGCAGTGGTGCAAGGGTTGCTGGACGTGGTGGTGGTGTGGGAGGAATGGGTGTGCAGTCACTAACCGCAGCAGCGCTGCCTGCAGCAGCAGCAAGCACCCGAGCAGTAGCTGTCGGCACGCCAGCCACCATGCATGCAGGCACCGCGAACATGCAGACGAGCATGCACGCTGCACGGCATGCTGCAGTGAGCGCAGTGAATGCAGTCATGAGTGCAGTGAGTACGGGCATGAATGCATCTGCAGTTGCTCCCCAGCAAGGCCCTGTGACGCCACCTCCTGTCTCTGCTGCTGGTCTCTCAGGCCAGCAAGAGTTCATTCAGCAGCAGTGGCAGCGGCAGCAGCAGCAGCAGGTGCCAATGCAGCAGCAGCAGAATGTGCATGTGCGTGCACACATGCCCTCTCTGCCACATCCCGTGGTGGGCATGCCAAGCCGTTCTCTCTCTGCTGCTGCTACAAATGTTGGTGCCAGAGCTGCTGCTGCTGCTTCTCCTGCTGCTGCTCCTCCTGCTGCAACTGCTGGTGCTGTGCCGTCTGCTCGAGTGGCCGTCGCTCCACTCCCCCGTGCCTTTCCTCCCACTGCTGGTGGCACAGCAAGAGCTGCTGCTGGCACAGCAGGAGCTGCTACTGACACGGGTGGCTTGCCTTGTCTGAGCTCTCAACGGACCCATCAGCAGCAACGACAGCACTACCAGCAGCAGCAAGAACGTCAGCAGCAGCAGCAGCAGCAGCAGCAACAGTGGCAGCAACAGTGGCAGCAGCAGCAGCAGCAACAGCAGTACCAACAACAACAGCAGCAGCAGCAACAGCAACAACAGCAGCAGCAGCAGCAGCAGCAGCAGCAGCAGCAGCAGCAGCAGCAGCGTGGCATGCCTGTATCAGCGGTGCAAGACATAGCTGCCATGGAAAATGCTTTTGTGCACCGATGGCTGTTGCAACAGCAGCCGCCACAGCAATGGCAGCAACAGCAGCAGCAGCAACAACAGCAACAACAGCAGCAGCAGCAGAACTCACATCTATTCACAGTTTCAGGGGTGAATCGAGTGTTCGCTGCACCTTCTGCTGCCATCCCTCTGCCTGCTCCACTTTCCCCCTCCGCTGCCACTGCTGCCGTTTCCCATTCTGCTGCTGCAATATCTCCTCCTGCCCTCGTCGCTACAGGTGTACCTCTCGCGCCCTCTTCTCCTGCTGCCCCCCCACATGCCCTCCGCTCACCGCCCCCTACAGTGTTCTCGCCGCCTCTTCCCAACCCCACATCCCCACACACAGCTGCAGCATCGCCCCATGCACAGCCCCATGCTCCATCGCCCCATGCCCCGTCGCCCCTTGCCATCCATGCGCAACCCCATGCGCAACATGCCCGACCTTATGCACAACATACCCAACCCCACGCCCAAAGCCACTCAACTCAACCGCATGCCCAACCCCATTCACAAAGTCGCTCACCTCAACCACACCTGCCCCATGCGCCACAGCCCCACAGGCAGTGCAACGCCACCTCGCCTCCCTCACATGCCATGCATCCTCCGTCAACTGGCCCCCATGCCCCTCTCAACGCCAACCCTGCTCACCTTCCTGACATGGCACAGCCTCAACATGCTGCTGCCCCACACGCCCAGCAGCAGGGGCACATGCATGGTGAGAAGCAGTTGTCTTACTCACTTCACAGTCCTCTCTTTTCTCTCCTGTCTCCTTCTGCCTCTCTCCTGTCTCCTCTCTCCTCTCTCCTCTCTCCTCTCTCCTCTCTCCTCTCTCCTCTCTACTCTCTCCTCTCTCCTCTCTCCTCTCTCCTCTCTCCTCTCTCCTCTCTCCTCTCTCCTCTCTCCTCTCTCCTCTCTCCTTTCTCCTCTTACATCTCTCTTCTCTCCTCTGTCTGTCTCCTCCTTTCTCCTCCCCCTTCTCTTTCTGTCCTCTCTCAGTCTCCTCCTTTCCCGCAATTCACTCCACTTTTGTCCTACTGGAGTTCCATTGGTGCACCGCCATGTTTCTCCTTTCAGGTCCCCACCCATGCCTCTCCTCTGCTATTGTCCCCCACATGCATCTTTGCCTCTCTACCTCTCCGTTTTGATGCTTTTCCGCCTCTCTGCTTCTCTGCCTCTCAACGTGTGTGCACTATCACAGCAGGGGGCATGGCAGCAAATGTGATTCTCATTGACTCTGACGATGAGTAGCCAATCAACACCACGTGCTTGCTGACGAATAGTCAACTTCACATGCTGACTCACGAGTAGGCAGGCAAGTCCCCACGCCACTGGATTCGCTCGCCTGTCATCTGCCCACCCATCTGCTTACTGCCCCACCCATGTGCTGCCTACATTTGACGGTCTGAGATGGGCAATCCATGTACATCCTCTGTAGTCACTCTGCTCAATGCACAAGCCCTGGTGTACAAGCCTTGTGGCTAGCATACCAACCGTGATCGAGCCAAGTTCTGTTACCGTATTAGTGTGCCTCAAGGCACAGGCATTGTTGCTGACTGGACTCGATGCGCAAAAATGTAGCTAGCATACGGTACCCCGATACAAGTTTCAGCCGTGATTTAATCACAATTACCGTAAGAGTTGCTTTGCCATGCCACATGGCACCTTCCTTTTGTTTTTTTAACCAGTGAGCTCTTCTTGAAGGCTTTTAGAACCTTCGTCTGTAGTACAGTAAAAGTTCCTGAGGGACAATCCATGTAGCTGCAAAAGGGATGGAATACGATAGACCACATGATCTGGATGATGTTACAAAGATCAACGCAGCGCGCTATCACTGGGGGATTAAGCACTACCTAGAACAACACGAGTTGATGGAAGTAAGGCCTCCGCAGCCCACCTGTCTTCTTTTGACAGCCCCCACTACCTCGGACACCGGGTTCACTATGAGGTTGTGGTTGCACTTAGCACACAACTCGTATCAAAATCGAGAGCTATGTTGCTGTTGCCCTCGCATTCTCTCAGCAAAACTCTGAAGGACTTGAGGTGTCGCGCCGTGCACTGAGCTCGAGGTGCAAAGAACGAGGAAGGTGAACTACTTCCTGGGAGGGAGGGTCTGTTGAATTGCATAGAAGGGCTGGGTCGTGATTCTGTGCAGTATATAATAATGGTGAAATTCCTCACTTCAGCTAAATTGGTGAAGCAATGATACTGAACAAGCTTGTACCATAAAACGCAACCCTGTTCCTGCTACCGGTACGATAATAATCTCATGATTTCCACCCTTCCTTGCCAGCTGCCCCTGTCCCCTTGCTCACAACCAGCTTCCCCCCTTTCCTCACCCCCCTACCTTCTCCCTCCCCTGAACTACACCCATCCCCGCTACCCACTCCCCTTCCCCCACTTCCCACGCTCCCCACCCTCTTCTCCCTCCCTCCTCCCGCCTCCCCTCTCGCACCCCCCCATTCCTCGTCCCACTCATCCCACTCCGACCCACCGTCTGCCCTGCTCCTTCCAGCTTCTCCCCGCACCCCTCCCTGCCCTCCCCCTCCCTGCTTCCCTCCTCCCGGGATCTGCTGTCCAAACGCAACAGACAAATCCACCTCCTGCCGAGCCACCTCAGAGTACGCCGCACCTGGCCCGTGCCTCCCGCCAAACCAGCTGCCGCTGCCCCCTGTTGCTACCCCACGGCTGGTACTCACGAGGCGGGAGAGGGAGCGGCAGCAGCAGATGCAGCAGCAGCAGCAGCAGGCAAGTAGTGCCAGGGCGGAGGCAAGGAGCACGGTTTGGCCGGGCGAGAGGAAGAGGGATGTGAGGGGGTAGAGAGGGGCGAGAATGGGTTCCAGTGTTGCAGCCAGGGGCGCGATGAACCAGCGTGCGAGAAACCCCTCTCCCTGCTCTGCATCCCCACTTGCCGCCGCCGCTCTCGCAGAAGCTTCTTCGCCGGAGGTGGCAGCACTGTCGGCACCGTTGGTTTTCGCCCCCTCAACGTCCCCCAGCGGCTCATTCCCTGCTGCATCAGCAGCATCAGCAGCAGGCGGGAGGGGGTCAGGGGGCACGTCCTGGAGGTCAACGGAGACCATCTCCTCGTCCACCGGCACGTCCATCACATCCTGTGGACCCGTGAACGCCACCTGCACCTCCTCGCCCACTCCGCCTCCCTCCTCCCCCCCGCCTCCCCCTTCCCCCCCGCCTCCCCCTTCCCCCCCCGCCTCCCCCTTCCCCCCCGCTTTCTCCTGTTCCCGCATCTGCTGCTGCTGCTCCGTCTGCTGTCTCTCTCTCCCCGGTCCCTACCCCACTCCCGCCCTCGTCCCTGTCCTCGCTGCTGCGTTTCGTCGTGCTCTCTATCGTGGTCTCGCCCTCCCCATCTGATCCTGCTCCCTCCTCGTCCCCAGCAGGCCGCGCTGCTCTTGCTTCCCCCTTCTCCTTACCACCCCCTTCCCCCTCCCCATCCTCCCCCTCCGATCGCCTCTTCGACGACTTCTTTTCCTTTCTGGCGCTCGTTGCATCCGCTGCTGCCCCCTCATCCCCCTCAACCCCCTCACCCTTATCACCCTCCTCGGCGTCCGCCTCCTGCTGCTCCCCTTCAGGTTCTGTCCCCCTTGCTGTCCTTGTTGATTTGCTCGACTTGCTTGACTTGCTTGACTTTGTCATTTCCACACTCTCTCCACCTTCCTCCTCCTCACTCCCCTCCTCCCCACCATCCACCTCCCTCGCACCACTCTTCTTCCCCTTAACTCCCTTCGTTCGCTCCCCCTCCCCCACCCCGTCCCCCTCCTCCGCATCTTCCCCCTTCCCCGCAATCACCGCTTCCGCCTCCGCTATCGCCTTATCCACAGCGGAAAAACCTTCCCCGTCCTCCCCGTTCCCGCTTCCCCCTTTTCCCCTCTTCATACTCGATCTCCGCCCCGTATCCGCAACTTCTTCCCCCTCCGACTCCTCTTCCCCCTCAGTTTCCCTCACAGACTCGACCGCCTTCTTGCTTCCCGTAGTTTTAATTTTCTTCGTCTTCTTTTTCGTCTTCTTCTTAACCACTCGAGCCGCGTCCTCGTCCCCCTCGTCTCGCGAGACTTCCGCGTCGGCCGCATCGTCCGCCGCTCCTCTCTCCGCTTCGTCCGCAATTCCTTCCTCTTCCTCCGCAATCGCCGCTGCTTTCGCGGTCTTAGTCGTCGACTTCTTTTTCTTCTTCACTTTCAAAACCCTCGCAACGACGCGGCCAGTTTTCACAGACTCCTGAACCGGATCAAATTCAGCAGCGGCTGCTACAATTCCAGTATAAGCTGACGCGATATTGCGCGAAAGACCCTCGCGTTTAGAGTCATTGCCCGTTGAGAGGCGCGCAGCGGAGGCGACGTGCGACAGGAGCAGCAAGAGAGAGAACGCCACGGCGATAAGCGATATCACGCTGCGACGTCGCCACGTGACTGCCGTGGCAGCCGCCATCGATTGCGGCGACTCAGCCGCGTCGCGTGATTGATATGGACTGTTCACGACAATGGGGTCTAGCCTGGATAAGATGAAAAGTTTGTTCGCTTCCAGCCCAAAGCTGTTTTGTCTGGTTGGTGCGTACTCTTCAGAGAATCGAGCAGGAACCCGAGAGTAGCGAAGTGTCGTTGATACATTCAGAACTTATAAACTACTTACACGATGTACTAGAAGTTGGATTTGAGATTTTCCAATAATGAATTAATACATCATTTACTACATCTCTTCTGGAGCCAATATGTTGTCATACACCGGCCCTTTTTCTTCGCATGCACTTCCCAATCTGACTCCACTTCCTCAACCAAAGGTTCTTGCAATGCAGAAGAATGCTGGGCAACTTCACCACCAATTCCCTCTGCCATGTCAGTGTCTGAAAGGCCATTGCAATCAGTGGCAATGGCATCTCCATTGCATAGCACGAGTTCGCCTTGGGACCATCTAATGGCATCGTATGTCAGCCGTGTCGCAACCTCCTCGATGTCTGACTCGATAAGAATCTGCAAGCCAGAAAGGTAACCACACAACCTGTAATTGCCCTGTGCCGTGCCCAGCCTCACAGACATCACGGAAATATGGTCCCACATGAAAATTCAATGCGAAAGAGAACGACATTCTTATGATAGGCGCAAAAAAAGACGGATTGGCACACACTGCCATTGGTGTAGGTAGCAGAGTATACTCACCTTGCCGGAGGGGTGCAGCAGGGCAAGCATGGCATGCACGAGGGCAGGGGTGAGCATGCCCCACCGGTGCAGGTGTGCTGTGCCCCTCTCCTGCGCTCTCCTGCTCGCTGCAAAGTCTGGGTCCGGGCACTGCCATGTGCGAGAAGGGCAATGGAACGTTGACAGATTGGGCTGCTAAATCGCAAAAAAAATCATCCTGCTCGCTGCAAAGTCTAGGTTTGGGCACCGCCGTGGGTGCCAGAGGCAAGGGGACGTTGAAGGAATGCCAGGACAGATAAGGAATATTTGGACACCTTTTTGAAATGGAGATGGTGAACAGGGATTGGAAGGCTAAGGAGGTGGGTGATGAGACAGGGTTGATTGTGAGTCAACTCAGAGACGAAATCTCAGTGCCATGTGGGGAGGACGGGGTCACCTGGATGGTGAGGAGGTTGATGGGGCCAGGGTAGGCGACTAGCAGCGAGTGCAGAGACGTGGTGGCATTGGCATGGACGAACCACCTGAATGCGCCACCAGAGAGGGGCAGGCAGACATACAGCAGGAAGGGCGGGCAGTCATGGAAGCAGCTAGAAATGGGCTGTAAATGGTTGGACGTGTGGGAGTGGGGGTGCTATACTGCCACGTTCACAGGATAAGCGCGGTGGGTTTGAGTCGACACAGGAGTCGCAAGGACGCTATGAATGCACAAGTGCAGGACAGCAAGGGGGGCGGCGTTCATACGCGTTGACTTTTGAGAAGTCTCAAAACAAGGGCGCTATGTATGCACAAGTGCCAGGGGAGGGGCGCTCATACACGTTGCTTGTTGCATGCTCCCTGCGCTGCCCACGAGTGTCCCTGACAGAGGTGGGCCTGTGTGGGGCATGCGGTGGGGGAGAGGTGGCAGCCAGAGAGAGCGCCTTCTGCACCAGCTGGTGTGATATGCAGGCGAGGGGGTGAGGGGGAGATAGGGGGAGATGGGGGGAGAAGGAGTGAGAGTGTGAATGGGACTGTGAGTGTGAGTCTGCATGAAAGGGCCAGTGTGATTGTAAGTGAGAATGAGAGTGCAAGTGAGAGTGAGTTTGTGAGTGTGCGTGTCAGTGTGAGTGGGGATGACTATCCACTTGTTCACTTGCACATGTGAGGATGCTTGTCTCCCTAAACGCACATGAGGGTTGATCTCCACACCAAGGAAGTTCCGCGACCCTCTGAACCGCCCAGCCATGCTGCGACAGAACCGCCCGTTGCCTGCACGCACACAATCACCCACAGGGTGCACGCACACAATCACCCACAGGGTGCACGCACACAATCACCCACAGGGTGCACGCACACTCTGAGATTCTCTTCTTCGCTCTGAAAAAATCTGATTCGTTTGGGTCTTTCCGAAGCTCTTTAGTTGCCTCAATTATATTTTTTCCTAGATCTTTCTTTACCTTTCTCTCGCACTCACCACAGCCGATGTCAACAGTGAGCGGCAGCGAGGAATCGAGGAAGACTGTGGACCAATCAGGAGGCGGCAGTGGCACCTGGGAGAGATTGGTGAGGGAGGCGGCAGAGGGGAGATTAGGGGAAGGAAGCAGCACAAGGCCAGCTCAATAGTGATGGTGACTGGTTGACTCACGAAGTCAAAGCAGTCAACTCACGAAGTCAAGGCAGTCAACGCCAGGCAGAGGCATCCCTTGGAGTCCACGAAGCAGAGCCGTGCCTCCATCCACCACCACACACTCCCTGCCTCCATCTCCATCCCCGTCTCTCCTCCCCTTCCCCTCAACCACCTTCACATGCTGCCACAACTGCCCCCCCAGCACCTGCTGCAGCTGCCGCCCAGCCACTATGAGCTGTGGCCGCCTCACCAGAGCAGCAGCAGCAGTAGAAGCAGCAGGGATGGTGGCAGTGGTGGTGGAAGCGCGAGGACTGCTGGCGCTGCTGCTTCTGGTGGTGGGTGCGGTGGTGAGATGGGCAAGCAGAGCCGAGTCGGCACAAGGCAGCACATGCGGTACTTTCTCCTCCACCCCATGCTGTGACCCACTCGCCCCATGCTGTGACCCACTCGCCCCATGCTGTGACCCACTCGCCCCATGCTGTGACCCACTCGCCCCATGCTGTGACCCACTCGCCCCATGCGTTGATGCGTGGGTGGTGGGTGGTGGTGGGTGTAGGGAGATAGAGCCAGCCCAGAAGACAGTCTGCTGGATTCATGGCGAGGGGCGGAGAGGGAAACAAGAGGATGGCAGAACAGAGGAGAGTGAATGAGGAACGCATTGGAGGTGGGGCGAATGCAGCTGTTGCATTGTGGTGAGAGGCATGGTTGGACACGTGGAGAAGGGGGGTGCGGACCTGGCAGTTGAGGGCGGCACAGAGGCGAGTGATGTCCTCAATGCTTGAAGGGCACACATCCACCCGCTGTTGCTGCTGACACTCACGCTGCTGCTCCTGCTGCTGCTGCTGGTTGGAGGGGGTAGTAGTGGTGGTGCCGTGAGTAGCAGGCACCCCATGCACAGCAAAGGGCAGGATGAGGCGGGAAAGGAAAGGAGCGGGCAGTGAGGAGAGGAAGGCAGAGGCTTCCGCCAGGGCTTGTGGGGAAGGCCGGGGGAGAGCGGATAGGAGGGACGAGATGTGGGTATGTGGACCCGCTGCCTCCTCTCCCTCTGCTCCCTCGTTGCTCGCTCCTCCAGCGTCGCTCACTGCTGTCCCATGTCCCTCTGCTTCACCACGTGCTGTTGAATCGATGCAGTGCAGCGTGGCGAGAGAAGGGAACTCGGGCAGGCGGGCAAGATGAACCCCACGAGCTGCTGAACCCGCAGCAGCAGCAGTACGAGCATTGGCAGCAGCGAGGAGGGCAGGCAGCACAGGGCCGGAGAGCACGAGGGCATGGCAGCGAGGCAAAAGAGCGCGGATCAATGCTCCACTGCGACCCATGCTCGCCACTCCCACCACCGCCACCACCGCACTGCGCCCCTCACCACCACCACGCACCTCTCCAGCCTCCCCTCTCCCCATCAACCTTAACACTCCCACGTCCCCCGCTCCCCCTTCTTCCCCCACTTCCCGCAAGGCCCCCAGCACCTCAATGAGCTCGCGCTCCACTCTCAGCCCGGCCACGGCTCGCCCCACCACTGCTGCCACGCCCACACACGACGCCAGCACACGGTGGCACGCGGAAGGCGCGTCCAGCACTACGAGATCTACCACCGGGACAGAAGACGTGCGGATGTTGGCAGTGGGGAGGGAGGGGGGCATGGAGGAGGAGAGAGCCGCTGGGCTTTGCAGATCCTGCTGCCCAGCTGTGCTGTCTGGTTCTTCTGCCACGCCTGCCAGCGTGGCAGCTAGGGTGGGTGAGTTGGCGGTGTCGGTGGATGACACGTGGCGGAGGTTGGGTAGCAGCAGGACGCGAGGAGAAGGGGGTGTGAAGGCCAGGGAGTTGGGTGGGTGAGAGGGGGGGTCGGGGGTGGTTGCAGGGTGAGGGGTGGGAGTGGTGGTGCTGGGGGTTGTTGGTGGTGGAGGTGAGAGGAGAGGGGCGAAGTGCAGAGGTGCGACCTGGACAGGCTGGGACTGGGGCAGGTGGCATGCCTTTGATAGCAGAGCTGCACGTGGCGAAGGGGAGGGGAATTGGAAAAAGGGAGGGCTTTAAGAGGGGCCATGTCACGACCGCCATGCAGCCATGCAGGATTAGCCATGTGCCCTGCCTGCCGCATGCCACATGTCTCACCAGCGACAGCAGGTTGAGAGGCCGTGTCAGGCGCCCACTCCCCCGCCACCACCACCACCAGCGCGTATCTCCGCGCCCACTCGCGCAGCATCAGCCTCAAACTGCCCACACTCCGCACCTCGCATTCCTCCCCCTCCCCCTCCCCCTCCCCTTCCCCCTTCTCCTCCCCCTCCTCCGCTTTCCCCGCACTCCCCACTTCCACCAGGTCACTCAGGTCGCACCGCAGCAGCACAACCCGACGCTTCCACCTCCCCTCCCCCTGCCCTCTCCGCGTCCCATCCCCCTCCGCCGCCCCTTGCGCAATCTCCCCCCGCCTTCCCCTTTCCAGCTCCCGCTCAAGCGCAATCAGCCCCCTCAGGGTCTGTCTCTCCGCCGCCCCTCCCCCCCGGTACCTGCCCTTCCCCATACCCATCCCCTTCCCCTTCCCCTTTCCCGCTTTCAACCCCTCCTTTCCGCCAGACCGTCCGCCCTTCCCCTGCTGCGCGCTCCCGCCTCTCCGCCTCTCTCCCGCAGTTGCGCTTATCCGCCCATCATGCGCCCCTGCGCCGATTCGAATAACACTACGACGGTATAAGCATGGAGTTTCCGTCAATCGAAACTCCCGATATAAGCACAGTCCTTGCGGGAGACTGACGCGGCGCGCCGCAATTCGTTCCCACGACCGCGTCACGCCAGCACGCGCCGACGCGGGGAGGGCCGGAAATCCTCCGCCGCGCAAACCCGGAGCGCATGTATGAGCGGAGACTTCTGGCGGAACATCGGCACCGTGTGGGCGTGCAGTGAGTGCGCAGTACGGTGCGCGCGCCTGCGCTAAAGGGGTTGCCATGGCCCTCCCCGCGCAGCTCGACTATCAATTGCTTGGCTAGTCGCCGTCGCCGTCAGTGTGCATGAGCGCGAGGCGGTGTGCGAGGAGCCATACTGCGAGATGGCGCGAAATGAGTTGAGGATTGGAGCGGAAATGGGACTGGAAAAAAAACTGCGCGCCAAATTTCCGAAACCCTGAACCTTGTACCTTGCAGATTCTCGGACCTGATATTGTCGGACTCGAGAAGGCGATAGTGCTGGGTTGGAGAGCCCAACCACATATAAACTCAGTGAGTGCAGTTGATCACCGAACCGAACTCCTCTGCTTGTCATTAATTGCGCCGCAAGTCTTCTAGCAAGCAACCGTCATTACCGCGTCTGCTGCTGGATCTTTGCGCCACAAACGGCGGGTCGTTTCGAGCTAGACCGCAACATCGCGCAGGGGCAGCGAACAGCAGAGCACAGCAGCAGCTGCAGCTGCGCGCCCATGCCAGGAGAACGAGCGGCCAACGCGCGCACGTGAAGCTGTGAGCGAGGGATCTTTGTAGCCATCGAACGAGCGCGCGCGCGCGCGGAGTCTGCGGGAAGGCGGGATGGCGGTGGGCGCTGTGGCGGGCGGAACGGGGGGTGGACGGAGCGGGAAGGAGGGGGGCGGGGAGAAGGCGGCGAGCACGGCGCGGCTGCTGCGCACCGTGCTGAGCTGGGACTTCTTCCACATGCTCGCCCTCTCCAAGGTACTTGCTCCCATGCTCGCCCGCTCCGAGGTAGTTCTCGTACTCTACAGTCCACTCCCGGACTCTCGTGCTACCATACCTCCCTGCTGCACATCGTGCTGAGCTGGGACTTCTTCCACATGCTCGCGCTCTCCAAGGTGACATCTCTCGCTCTCACGCTCGCGCTCTCCAAGGTGACATCTCTCGCTCTCACGCTCGCGCTCTCCAAGGTGACATCTCTCGCTCTCACGCTCGCGCTCTCCAAGGTGACATCTCTCGCTCTCACGCTCGTGCTCTCCGAGGTAGTGCTCGTACTCCCCATGCTGCTTCCGTCCCGGACTCTCGTACTACCGTTCCTCTCCCACCGTCCTCTTGCGTCCTTCTTCCAAATCCTCCCTGCTGAGCTGGGGCTTTCCACATGCTCGCTCTCTCCAAGGTAACACTTGTACTCTCCATGCTACTTCCCCGACTCTCGTGCTACTCTCCATGCTACTTCCCCGACTCTCGTGCTACTCTCCATGCTACTTCCCCGACTCTCGTGCTACTCTCCATGCTACTTCCCCGACTCTCGTGCTACTCTCCATGCTACTTCCCCGACTCTCGTGCTACTCTCCATGCTACTTCCCCGACTCTCGTGCTACTCTCCATGCTACTTCCCCGACTCTCGTGCTACTTGTCCTCAACCCGCTTACCTGTCCTCCCTCACCCCGTTCCTCTCCCATCGTGCCTCTTGCTTCCTACTTCTCACTCCCTCCTGCTCGTCCTCTCTCCCCACTGTCCCGCCTACTCCCCTCCCCACCGCCTGTTGCATGTGGCACCGGGTGTGGGCGAGCAGGTGAGGGAGAGGAAGCGGCAGCCCAGAAAGCTCCCCCAACTCCCTGCTGCTGTCGCTGATGCTGCTGCTGTGGAAGAAAGGGAGGGTGATGGGGCTAAAGATGCTGCTCTGGCTGATGCAGAGGCAGGCGGGGAGGCAGCAGCGGCGGAGGGGATGGAGGTGGAGGGCGGAGAGGTAGGGGAGGGGGAGGCAGCAGCAGAAGGAGCAGCAGAGGCAGTGGCAGAGGAAGCAGAGGTGGAGGCAGAAGGGGAGGGGGAGTTGGAGGGCGGGGAGGAGGACGAGCTACGGGAGGTGCCGGTGCAGTTCAGCAGCGCGGAGGAGTATGTGGACGTGTTCGAACGACTGCTGCTGGAGGAGTGCCGCGCGCAGATCCTCCGAGGGGCCGAGGAGCAAGGTGTGTGTGAGGGGGGAAGGAGGGGAGAAGAGAAAGAATGTGTGTGTTGTGTATGCGGTTGATGCCATCCCATTTCCTATTCCGTGCGCATGGTGTTGCTCCAATGGGCATAAGCCACTTGGCACGGAGAATACGAGCTGCCCACCACTCCCCATCATCCTACCTGCCTCCTCCGTTGTTGTTTCCACCCACGTGGCCCCTGTGTCTCCCCCCACATGGCAGGCGGCATGGAGAGTCATCTGGTGGTGGCGGTGCGGTGTGAGCGAGCCAATGAGTTCCACATGGTGGGGGTGGCGTCCAAGGAGGCCCTCGTGGCGGACTGTCACGACAACGACCTGCTGCTGCTCTCCAAGGAAAAGGTGACTCGTGCTCTTTCCTCCTCTTGGTCCACACGCGCGCCTTAGTCCGCGCGCGCGCAATGGTCCGCGCGCGCGCCCCTTGGTCCACGCCATGGGGCGGCAGCGAGTTAACCAGCACATACGCGATCGCGAGTGTGGAGTCCTTTGAGACCAAAACACCCCTTTCTCCTCGTTCCACTCTTACCCCCCTTCGCTCGTCTTGCCCCCCTTTGCTCACTTCCACTCTCGTCCCTCCCCTCTCTCCCCCACAAAGCCATGGGGAGGCAGCGCACTACCCAGCACATACGCCATCGCCAGTGTGGAGTCCCGCGAGACCAAAACGTCTCTGCGCCTGCGACTGTGCCTGGAGGACCCGTGGCAGTGGGCGGACCCAGGAGGACCACCCACCACCGCAGCAGCCACAGACTTGGAGCAGGCCGGAGAAACAGAGGCAGGGGGGAAGGGAGCAGAAGCAGGGCCGGCCGAGGGGAAGGGGAGAGGGAAGGGGAGGAGGTGGGGGGTGCGGCAGCGGGCGAGAGCCAATCGGATGCTTTCCTTCCTCATGGGGGCGGCGGCAGGAGGGGGCAGTGCGTGTTGGGTGAGCAAGCTGTGCAACACGTCCACCATCTCGCGGGAATACGCCGCTCTGCGCTCCGCCCCCTCGCTGCCCTACATCCGCACCGTGCTCGCCTCCCACATGCCCGGCCCGGGGCACACTCAAGCAGCCGCAGCAGCGGGAGGAGCAGGAGGAGCGGGAGGGGAGGAAGAGGAGGAGGGAGGGGGGGGCGCGGGACCGGGGAAGCAGCAGCAGTGGCGGGTGCCGGAGGGGTTGATGGAGCATCTATCTGCGAGCCACAACGAGTCGCAGCTGAGGGCCATCAAGGGCGGGCTGTCCCGCCGCCCCCTGGTGCTCATCCAGGGGCCCCCTGGCACCGGCAAGACGCAGGCCATACTGGGGCTGCTCAGTGTGGTGCTGCATGGCCGCCCGGCGCACGAGATGGGGGATGCCGGGTGAGTGGGTGGGCCTGGTGGGTGGGTGCGGGGTGGGTGGGTGAGGGAGCGTGTGTGTGTGTGCGTGGGGTATATGAGGCCATTGTTATCCTCATTGTACCGTGGCAGTACCAGCAGCAGCAGCAATGGCGGCAGTGGCAGGGGCTGTCATAACCCGCCCTCGTCCTTCTTCCCCACCACCCTTCACCCCACTCCAGCAACGGCGCCCAGCACATCACGCACATGACACGGCTGACATGGCAGCAGCGGCAGCAATGGCGGCAGTGGCAGGGGCTGTCATAACCCGCCCTCGTCCTTCTTCCCCACCACCCTTCACCCCACTCCAGCAACGGCGCCCAGCACATCACGCACATGACACGGCTGACATGGCAACAGCGGCAGCAGCAGTAGTAGGGACTGCCTCAGAGAATCTAAGGGCCCCACCCATTTCCCCTCCCTGCCCTTCCCTTCACCCTACCCACAGCAACGGCGCGCAGCACATCACGCACATGACGCGGCTGACATGGCAGCAGCGGCAGCAGCAGTGGGTGCGAGCGTCCCCCTGGCTGCACGGGGTGAACCCGCGAGAAGCTGTACAGCCAGATGATGAGGAGGAGGGTGGTGCAGGGAGCTCGGGAGGCGGTGTCTTTGGCAGCACACAGCAGGTGGGGCTGGCTGGCCGGCCATGGGATGCAGCAGGTGGGGGTGGCTGGCCGGTCATGGGATGCAGCAGGTGGGGCTGGGCGGCGCATGGCATGCGGCTGAGAGGCAATGAGAGGTGGATTCCCTTTGGCACATGGCGTGACTCACTCCCCTTTCCGCGGCTGCTTCTCCCGTGCTCTGTCACGTGGTGCATCTGTAATCGCCCTGCCTTCCTCCCTTTTCTCCTCGCCCTCTCCTTCTCCCTCCGCCCTTTCCTCGTCCACTCGTCTCCACCAAACCAGCAGACCTTCTCCACCCTCTCTCTCCCTCCACCAGGTGGAGGTGTTGGGGGGCCATCGCAAGCAGAGGGCGCACGTGCTCGTGTGTGCGCCCTCCAACGCTGCTCTCGATGAGATTGTGCTGCGCCTGCTGCACACAGGTGAGTGTTTCTTGAGAATTCTACTAAAACTGATCAGATGTGAGATTTGAGTCGACTCAAAAAATGCGTCACCATGTATCACCCCTCTCTTCCTGAGGGCATAACATGCCATGTCATGCACCTAGTGCGTCATTCGCTCCCTCCATCCCATCCCACCCCACCCCATGCGTGCAGGCCTGAGGGACGACAGTGGAGGCATGTATTCACCGTCGGTGGTGCGCGTGGGGCTCAACGCTCATCACTCCGTCGCCTCTGTCGCCATGGATAACCTGGTGGGTGTTAGGGCTGTCATATGCATGTGTGGCGGTATTTGTGGTGGCACATGCGACTGCATGGTCACTGCGCTCTACTCGTGCATCACTCTAATTTCTGACGGTTGTTATATTCTTTCCTACATATACTAGTACTTGTAGTTGTATTACTTACGCGGGATTCCTTTCTCTGAACACATCCCCTCTCTCCCCCTTTCTCCGCTCCTCCCCACCTCACAGGTATCTCAGCGAGCCAGCAGCATGGCACGGTCAGCAGCGGGGGTGGGAGCCAAGACAGCAGGGGCAGGCGGGGTGGAGCGAGACAGAATACGAGTCGCCATTCTCGACGAGGCTGCCATTGTGAGGCCCCATGTTTGTAGAGCATGATGTGACAGCATGATGTGACAGCATGATGTGAGAGCATTTCTTTGTGCAAGGAGAGCTGGTTGGTTGAGACCTGCTACATCTGTCCAGGCGCCATACGTCTTGTCCTTCTCTCCTCCTGCACGGCAAAGCCTTTCCCCTTACAAGTTTTCTCACTGCAAACCGTTGCTTCGTCTGGCGCCACCAAAAATCACACCTCTATCCACCCACCAATCCATCCATGCCCCTTGTCCCTTTTCTCACTCCCATGTCTTCTGCCCGTTTCCTCCCCCCACCCACCCATGCCCCGGCCCCATCCCACCGGTCCCAAGGTGTGTTCAACGCTCGCGTTCGCAGGGTCAGGTGTCTTCTCGCGCATGTCACGGCCATTCGACGTGGTGGTCATTGACGAGGCGGCTCAAGCGGTCAGTGCAGCACCTCTATCTGCCTCTTTTGCTGTGCCTCTGTCTCTGTCTCTGACTCTGCGCTCTGCCCCTCACTTTGCCTCTGCCTCTGTCCCTACCTCTCCAGCTGCCTCTGCTTCTGCATTGCTCATGCCTGCATGCCGCCGTGCCGTGTGTGCCTGGCCCGGCCCCACCCATGTGCCTGGCCCCACCCATGTGCCTGGCCCCACCCATATGCCTGGCCCCACCCATGTGCCCACCAGGTGGAGCCATCAACGCTCATCCCAATGACTCACGGGTGCTCGCAGGTGTTCATGGTGGGGGACCCGCTGCAGCTGCCAGCCACTGTGCTCTCCACACGCGCCGTGCACTACGGGTGGGTGGGATAACGCGTCACGTTCAGCACATGCACTATGGCTGGTCGGGTGAGATGAGAGGCGTGCTAGCTGGTATGCACAGGTTGCTGCTCGCAGGTGTTCATTGTGGGTGGGCGACCCATTGCAGCGGCTAGCCAATGTGCTCTGCACCCACACTGTGCATTACGGGTGGGTAGCTGAGATGAGAGGCATGCTACCGTATTCTGCTCTTTCCAGAGGTCTGAGATAGATTATCGGCTCTTTCTACCTCTCTCACTCCCCATCTTTTCTTGACCTTTCCTCGTTCCCTGTGTCTCATCCGGCCCCTTCCACTCATGCCTCACATCCATCCCACCCCACCAGGTACCATGGCAGCATGTTCTCTCGCCTGCAGCAAGCGGGGTACCCTGTGGTCATGCTCAACACACAGTACCGCATGCACCCCATGGTAAGGCATGTCGGATGTGCAAACTTCAAACTTCGCCTCTTCTGTTCACTGTCAGGTAGCCACTGTCGTGAGGAATAGCCTCCCAGGTGTCTGTTCCCATATACCCATTCTCAGGTACCTGTATCCAGGTAGTGCCAGGTGTCAACGGCTCATCTCGGATTGTGCTGCCCCGCAGAAGTCTTACTCCCACCCCATCCACAAGGTGACTTTTGAGTCGACTCAAAAGTCACCTCGTTGCAGAAGCCTTACTCCCACCCCATCCACAACCCCACTGATTGCATTCGGCAATGCCCCTCCAACTAGTTTGACAGCAGGGCGTTTCCATCTCTGCCCCACGACGACCCCGCATTTCACCCACGCCCAACCCACCAGAGCCGGCACTTCCCCTCGAACGAGTTGTACGGCGGCGCACTGAGGGACGCGCCGCGGATGGCGCAGCACAGTGCAATGCCCGTCTCCCTTCTGCTGCTCACAACCACCCACAACCCCTCTCCACCGTGCCGCCCCACCAGATCCGGCACTTCCCCTCGCACGAGTTCTATGGCGGCGCATTGAGGGACGCGCCGCAGATGGCGCAGAACACGGCGCGGCCGTGGCACGCTGAGCGCGTGTTCGGGCCGTTGTTCTTCTTCGACCTGCACCAGTCCAAGGACGAGCAGCCGCGTGCGTGGCTGGTACTTGGGGATCTAGGGAGAAGCCAGAAGGGGGAGTGGTTAGTGGGAGAGGGAAGGAGAGGGTACGGGGAGAGGGTCGGGGTAGGCAGGGAGAGAGGTTGGCAGTTGTGGAAAGTGAGAGGATGGAGCAGATTTTGTGATGGGGGGCAGTGCTGCACTGCCACGTGGTGGGCGAGCGCTCTTTCGCTCCGACCCCCTCCCGTCCACCCTCTCCTCATGCCTCTCTCCAATCAAATTCTTTTTCTGTCGCCCTACCAGCGGGTGGATCGTGGATGAACGCGGACGAGGCGGAGTTTGTGATGGTGCTGTGCTGCCACCTCGTGGTCAGCACATGGTGGGGTTCCCCTCTGCCCATTGAGAGCACGATGTATTGTCTCCATTTCACTCACTCCTTGTGCCACAGCGGAAGGCTCGTGGATGAACAAGGACGAGGCGGAGTTGTGATGGTGCTGTACCGCCACCTGGTGGCGCTGTACCCTCAACTCCCTTCAACCCACCCATTCAAACCAGCTTGTTCTCACGCCACGCGCCCCTTCCTCTGCTTGCACCACAGCGGGCGGCTCGTGGATGAACAAGGACGAGGCGGAGTTTGTGATGGTGCTGTACCGCCACCTGGTGGCGCTATACCCGCAACTCAAGGAGTCCTCTGACGTCGGTGTCATCTCCCCGTACAAGCACCAGGTCGGTGTCGATGTAACCTCCGTGTCATCTCCCCGTACAGTTCCCCGTACAGTTACTGCAAGGTGCGTTGCAGATGATGTGTCTGTGCAACCTCTTCATCTGGACTTTTCCCCATTGCTTTCCTAATTCCCCTCACTCTGGTGCCTCCTCTCAGGTGAAGCTGTTGCGAGACAAGTTTAGAGAGCTGCTGGGCGAGGGGGCTCATAGAGTGGATGAAAGCACATGATGCTGAAAGTAGGCACGAGCAAATGGCTCGTTTGGGTCGGCCCGAAAAGATCCCGAATCTCCCCCCTCTTTTGGCTCTTCCTCTCAGGTGAAGCTCCTGCGAGACAAGTTTCGAGAGCTGCTGGGCGAGGGGGCTCATAGAGTGGATGTCAACACCGTTGACGGATTCCAGGTGCGCGCTGCTGGTGTTGACGGATTCCAGGTGCGCGCTGCTGGTGTTGACGGATTCCAGGTGCGCGCTGCTGGTGTTGACGGATTCCAGGTGCGCGCTGCTGGTGTTGACGGATTCCAGGTGCGCGCTGCTGGTGTTGACGGATTCCAGGTGCGCGCTGCTGGTGTTGATGGCTTTGCTGGGTCTTGTGCGTTGCGTGCCCATGTAATGCTCCTTTTTATCATGTTTCATGTGATGCTCGTTTCATGTGATGCTCGTTTCATGTGTTGCTCGTTTCATGTGATGCTTGTTTCATATGTTGCTCGTTTCATGTGTTGCTCGTTTCATGTGATGCTCGTTTCATATGTTGCTCGTTTCATGTGTTGCTCGTTTCATGCCATGCTTTTGTGCGCATGCTCTGCTTGCAGGGCCGAGAAAAGGACGTGATCATATTCTCGTGTGTGCGGGCGGGGAGGGGCAAGGGCAAGAGCATCGGGTTTCTGTCAGACTATCGGCGCATGAATGTCGGCATCACACGCGCCCGCTCCTCCATGCTCGTGAGCCTTGCTCTCATCTGCTCCCCTTCCATGCTCGTGAGCCTTGCTCTCATCTGCTCCCCTTCCATGCTCGTGAGCCTTGCTCTCATCTGCTCCCCTTCCCTGCTCGTGAGCCTTGCTCTCATCTGCTCCCCTTCCCTCCTCCCATCTCTACCCATGTTGCACCTTCCCTGCTCCCATCTCTACCCATGTTGCGCCTTCCCTGCTCCCATCTCTACCCATGTTGCGCCTTCCCTGCTCCCATCTCTACCCATGTTGCGCCTTCCCTGCTCCCATCTCTACCCATGTTGCGCCTTCCCTGCTCCCATCTCTACCCATGTTGCGCCTTCCCTGCTCCCATCTCTACCCATGTTGCGCCTTCCCTGCTCCCATCGCTACCCATGTTGCGCCTTCCCTGCTCCCATCTCTACCCATGTTGCGCCTTCCCTGCTCCCATCTCTACCCATGTTGCGCCTTCCCTGCTCCCATCGCTACCCATGTTGCGCCTTCCCTGCTCCCATCTCTACCCATGTTGCGCCTTCCCTGCTCCCATCGCTACCCATGTTGCGCCTTCCCTGCTCCCATCGCTACCCATGTTGCGCCTTCCCTGCTCCCATCTCTACCCATGTTGCGCCTTCCCTGCTCCCATGTATCCATGCTCTCATGCTCCACGCAGCACCCCTGCTTCACCATCCGTACATCGCGTTCAAAGGCATCTCCTGTGCTCACCTCTGCATGGGTGCATGGGTGCATGGGAGCAGGTGGTGGCGAATGCAGCAGCGCTGATGGTGGACGAGCATTGGGGCAATCTGGTCAAGCATGCCCGCTCCACCAACCGATACCTCAAGGTCTGCCCTCTTGTTCCCATGTACTTTGGTCACATGCACTGCCACAAGTCTCAAGTCCTCCCCTCAAGTCACCTTCGTCATCCTCCCCTCCCTGCAGGTGTCACGCCCCTTCCACCGCATCTTCGCCAGTGACCACCTGGAGAAGATGAGAGCAGTGGCCCATGCCGAGGGCGAGGGGGAGGGGGAGGGGGAGGGGGAGGGGGAGGGGGAGGGAGCGCCAGGAGCGGAAGCAGGAGGAGCACCAGCAGCAGCAACAGGGCCTGCTTTCAAGAAAGCTCCCACACTGGAGGATTTCGGGGGAAAGCTGGACAAGGGGGATGGGGGGTTGGGTGGGGAAGGGGATGGGGTGGGGGAGGGAGAAGGGGAGGAGGAGGGGGGGGAGGGGATTGGGGAGGAGGAGGAGTTTGAGGTGGCGGTCGAGGCGGGGGACTTTGATGAGGACAACATCGACGGCGAGGGGTCAGTGGTTTTCTGTCTCTGCCTTCCCTCCTGTCTCTGCTTGCTCTTCCGTCCTGTTCTCTTGTCTCCTGCATCTGAGTTTCCAGTCGACTCAAAATCAGTTTGAGGTGGCGGTGGAGGCGGGGGACTTCGATGAGGACAACATTGATGGGAAGGGGTCAGTGCACTTCTCTCTCCCCCTGCTGTACCTCCTGCCCCTTGCCTTGCTTCCTGCCTATTTTGTCTATTGCATCTGAGACTTGAGTGGTGGCGGTGGAGGCGGGGGACTTTGATGAGGACAGCATCGATGGGGAGGGGTCACTGCACTTCTTCCCCTGCTATTCCTCCTGCCCCTTCGCTTTGCCTCGTGCTTCTCTTGTTTCCTGCATCTGATTCTTGAGTGACTCGAAAGGAGTCTGGGGTAGCGGGGGAGGCGGTTGATGATGTCAAGCTACATGGAGAGGGGTCAGTAGTGCCTCTTGCCTCCTGCCCTGCCTTGCCTCCTGCCGCCTCACCTCAATCACATTTGTCATGCTCAATTTACGTCTTGGTGGTTCCTTCATACGTGTCTATCCTGCCTTTCCTCGTCCCTCACCCCTTGCCTTGCCTTGCTGCCACACAGGCCTTCTTGGTGAGCCAAGCACATGTCAAGCACATCGCTACCATACTCCACAGCAACACCGGTACTGTACCGGTACATGCCACGATTATTTGGTCTGTTTGCGTCATGAGCACAGCAGCATGGGCCCCACGTTTGCCGCAGCCGTTGCTTAGCGCATTGCTGGATCGGCAATGCTTTGCTTGTGTTGTTTAATCTCAATGAATGATAGCACATCGCTGAAAAACATAAGCTACTAACATCACATGTACACCATAAAGAGCTGTAGTGTACCAAACGGCCTCATCTTCTGGAAACCTCAAACTCTTGCAGGTACTCGGGGTTGTGGGGGTAGTCTAGGCCGTGCAGCACTGGCATTCTGCGCAGGTCCTCTGGTGAATACATTGGTAGGAACCAGTACCTTCTATCCATGCCGAATACCTGGTGTGGCATACGCGGTGTGGATGACAGAGGGGCACATGGACACATGCACACAGAAACACACAAACAGACAAGCCCAACAGAAGAATTCAACACGCGAACGGAGACCGGCAACAACCCTATGTGCCCCTGACAAGTCCATGAACCACAGGCCAAGAGCAAAGGAGTCAGGGGAGGAAAGTGAGTGTGCCTGCATGTGCACACACACACACACACACACAAAGACAGGACACGGCACGCTCCCTACCTGCTCGAAGTTCCTTCGCCTGCCCAGGTCGTAGCGCCATCTGTGCGACCCCCTCTTCTCAAACGCCTGCATGCCATGGCATGGCAGCAGCGGGGGGAGGGGGGGTGTGGGGGGGAGGAGGGGATGCACAAGCGTGACTTGATGGGGGGAACAGGGCAGCTCCTACGCGTGATGGTGTAGTGGGTGTGATGGTGTAGTGAGTGGGATGGTGTAGTGAGTGTGATGGTCTAGTGAGTGTGATGGTGTTGAGTGTGGTGAGAAGAACATGGCGTGGCAGCGGGAAGTGAAGAGGAACAGGCAATACCTTCTTGCAAATGGTTTACTAGCGCGTGGGAAATCGCACCAGAGAGGGCAAAATGCAGCACGCGGAAGGATGTACGTACCTCGATGGTGGTGGTGTTGCCGAGCACGAGCGACACGTGCATGATGAGGAATCCCAGCAGGCTCACGGCGAATGCTATGTTCAGCACTGGCGAGAGGGGGGAGTGGAAAGGGGAAGAGGGGAGGATTAAGTGGCGGATGGGAGAGGAACGGAGGGGAAGAAGCAGGACGTACATAGTGGGTGGGTGTGTGAATCTGCGAATGCAGTAGGAAGGACGTCCAAGGCATAGGGGAGGGAACGAGGGGGAGGGAGGAAAAAGAATAGAGGGCATAGCAGGGAGCGGGGGCCGGCCGGGACATACCGAAGGAGAGGAAGACGGTGGCGAGCTTGGTGGCGTCGTCGCTGGCGGAGGGCGGTGTGGTGAAGAAGTCTATGAAGTGCGGCAGCAGTGCCACCGCCACCACTGCTGTCTCTACAAATGTGTAGAACTGCAGTGCATGGACCGGCGACGCAGGGGGCAGGCGGTGACACACACAGGGAAGGGGTTGGGTGGTGATGGGGCTCAGTGGGGCGTTGGGAGAGGGGATAAGGGAGTGGGAGACGGGATTTGGAGTGGGAGAAAGCATAGGGAAAATACAAGTTGGGGTAAGCTGCGTGGAATGGGACAGAGGAAGAACGATCTGATGAAACGGGAAGTACAAGGGATAGCCGAGGGAGGAGAGACAGGGTGCTTGGGATGATCAAGATTAGGGGTGGGAGAGCATGAAAGGAGGACGGGAAAGCAGAGCAAGAGAACGAGAGGCAGACTGACAAGGAAGAGCAGGAATTGCTTGTAGTTCCTAGCGCCAACGCAGTTGATCACCCACACGCAGTGGTGGTCCATCTTCAATATGCACCGCCCACCTGGTAGACACGTGATGGTGCGGTGGGGTGGGGAGGAGTGGAGAGGGGTAGGGTACAGGAGCGGCCGTTCAGGAAGAGACGTGATGGTGTGGGTGTATGGAGCGAGAGGGCGCATGGGTGTGGCAGCGTGCACAAGAGAGTGAGTGCAGCGAGTGCAGCAGTGATGCGACGGAGCCACACGAGTGAGATGAGATGCACGCACACACAGGAACATAGCCATTCAAATCAAAGACAGAGTCGCAGAGGCAGCGAGACGCACAGACAGAGCAGTGGTGCGCTCGAGGCGGTTTGAACTGCAGGCACCGCTTGCACCGCCGAATCTCCACTGCCCCGCTCGCCATCCCCGCGTCCGCCCTTCCGTCTCTCCCCCCAATCATCCCTGCAACCCCTCCCCGCGGCACTGCCTGCGACTGCTGCTGCGGCTGCTGGTGGTCCTGCTGCTTCCCTCCGTTCTCCATGCCCGCCCTGCCGCCCGCGGGCCCCACAAGAGCAGCACGAGGGTCATCCATTGCTGAGCTGTCATCGTCATTATCGCGATCGTCGGATGCTGACTCGGACAGGCCGCCAGCGCTTGCCACGCTGGCAGCGGAGCCTGACCGACCAGAGTCAGCAGCAGCAGAGGCGGCGGCAGAAGGGGGGTAACTCCCAAGGGCGGCTTGCCTGTGGGTGTCTAGGGTTTGCAGCGACTGAGCCTCGAGATCATCGTCGCCGCGAAAGAAGGGATGCCAGTCGGGTGGTACACCACCAGGGTCCGTGAGCACGACGGAGAAGTAGCTCCAGAGCAGCATGCCGAGCTGGGCGGGGGGTGGGGGGGAGGGGGGAAGAGACGAGAGCGAGACGACGGAGAGAGCGAGGGAGAGAGGGGAGAGAGCGGAGGAGACAAGGGGCAAAGAGGAGGAATAATACGGATTTCACGCTGTGAATTCAACAAGTCTCGCGAGAGGCGGGTACTGCGGAACTTGGTGGGTGCATAAGCAAGCTGATGCAGACGAATCACAAGCGGGGATCGATCGTGGAAGGGTGTGACGAGGCGGGCGATGAGGCTTACGAGGCCGTGGAAGACGGCGAGCACGAGGAACGCAATGAACGACGTGGAGCCTCCCTTCGATAACTCAGGGCCGTAACTCGCGATGACTACAGCGTAGTAAGTAACCGCGACTATAGCGAGGACGACGAGGATCATAATGGATCCGAGAATCTTCAAGCCTGTGCAGAACTTGAACGCGTTCCACGCCATCGCAAATCTCGTAGTAGATAGTAAGTTCTCCACGAGATGTAAGCCTGCTCTAGTGCCTTTGGCCCAGCTCCGTTAATTTCGACGCCCTTGGTCTCTATCTCCGATTTTTTAGACCGTACAACTGGCAGTTTCGACCTGGTGGCTACCGCACCGCCATAGCTATATTCCGCAACTGCTGCTGGTAAGGTGCAGTCGCACAGATCCCTAGGTTCCCACTTTCGACTGAACGTGAAGCGCAGCGGAACTCCCTTAGGATGATACAGCATCCAAGTTCGAATATGAAAGATTGGACAATGCAAAGCACTATACATCAGTTGGATATATGTAGCGGGAATTTTATACACTCTCACCCTTGCACATCTATTTTATATCTTTTTCCGATCTCCACGCCTTGTTCCGCTATGAGGTGACTTGACAGAGCGTGTGCCAACGCTGTCGAATTGCAGACTCAGCTTTCTCGAGTCAGCACGAACACATCAGAAGCCGCAAGCCAATCAGCGCCGAAGACCGACATTTAAAACCTGTAAGTCCACACCGCGGTTCGCAATATTGACTCTATATCGAGGGCATTCGCATACCGTCACATCAGTCCATGTCGCATGTCAAATGGTTGCGCGATTCCAAATGCAGGCGCACATTTCAATGGATCAAGCCAATTTGCCCCCACCCAACCCAGCATTCCTTGACTGGCTTCCGCCTTGCATTGCATCTCCCTCCCTCCTGCCACTCCACCCGCCCAACAAGTACACAGACATCTGGCTCGCTGCCGCCACCGCCATCGTTTGTTCACCCTGGAACGAGCAACAGTTCCACCCTGGGTTTCTTCCCGCTTCGACCTAGAGCACGTGGCACCTACTACCTACATCCAAGAGCATTTCTCGCATCGATCCATTTCATTCCATCCTGAAATAAAACCTCGCGAAGTTCACGTTAGTCCCACCCACCAAGCTTGTCTCCAGTAGTTATCCTCGACAGTCGAAGCCAGTTTAATTTAGACAGGCGGCCACCTTAAAAACCAGGCTAAAATCTCGTCTTCACTACCTAACCAGAACACACTCATGGTCTCGCCAGTCGCGGCAGAGCGAGGCGCAGCGAATCAAACATGGCAGTCACTTCGTGAGTCAGTAGTGCCGGCGGCCACAGAAACCAAGTCCGTGGCTGACTCCAAGTCGGCAATCTCGAGGGTCGACTCGTGGGTCGACGACCACCTGCTGGTGCCACCTCCCCCAGCCGAGCCCGATAAGAGCGACGGCGACTTCGGCGACGTCGCAGATGGTGTCGCCGACGGCGGTGTTCCCGCGGACCCGCTCACGCGAAAGGTCGCAGCGTTGGAGGTGGAGAACTGCGAGATGACCGGGCGAGTCGCTGGGCTGGAGGCGATGCTTCGCGAAAAGGAGCAGGAGTCGCACGAGCTGCGTCGTCAGCTGCTGGCGATCACTCGCGCGCTGGAGGAGGGCAGCCACGCCGACACGCTGTCGCGCGCGGAGCTCCTCAACCAGGTGCTCAGCC